GGCGCGCTCCCGGCTCTGCGGTCGCCGAGCAAGACTGGGCCTGGCGTCGTTTTTCACAGAAGCACAGGGGGGATCTGTTGCAAAAATCACACGTTTGCCCTGCACCTCCCCGTAGCATTCGGCTGCCCGGCAAGGGCCTTAAGAAATGAAAGGGTTAAAGAGAATAAAACGGGGCAGAGGAAACTTACTGTGCTGAGCAGATATCTTGCAGAAAGCTGCAGCCTAGAACCCTGCACAGCCTAGATAACCACTAGACACCTGGCATCCGGGGGAGCAAGGACAGAGCCGACCCCTCAGCAGACCGACTTGCAGCCGCAAAAGTTACTAATACAAACCTTTCCCTCCCTGCACTCTCCACTCGTCTTATACGCCGGCAAATACGGTAATACAAACCTTTCCCTCCCTGCACTCTCCACGGACTCCTTTTGGTCGGACTCAGCCCACCTGCACCCAGGTGCCTGAAATAAAAATCTCTTTTGATACATTATGGCCTCATGTCATAGGTGCGCAACCCGGCCCACTCTGAACCTTTCAAGAAGAAACGCAGAGGAGGGGGAGAGGCGCGGGCCCCGGGCGCCGGAGAGAGAGCGCTCCTGGCAGGTCAGCCGTCATCTGAAATGTGTTGGCTGGCTCTTCCTGGCGGTGTGAACTTGGGCAAATTATTTCATCTCTGTGAACCTCCATTTCTCTACCTGTCCAGTGCGGGTAACCGTCTTGCAGGATTGTTGTAAGGAAACCCTCACGAGTGCATGCGCGCAGCCCTGGAGCCCACCGGGAGCACACCTGACTGACGAGTTGAGTTTCTTATGGTCTGGTAGCTTGTAGCGCGAAGGAATACATTCACCGGGAACCATGGAGTATCACAGTGTCAAATGTTTAAAATTTATTATGGGGTTTATGTTCTGTGATTTTGAGACTAGTTCAAGAAAGCAAAACCTGCACTGGATCAGATGCTATTAGGATGTGGGGTAGTTCTGTGACTGGGTGCCTTAATAAATCTTATTTAGAAGGAGTGAAGACCCATCGAGGCAAAAGCCATCACTGATAAAGAAGCAGCAGCCATAGCCATTTTGGGTCAATCTTGTGGTTTAGATAATGTTCAGGTTCTGTCTCTGTTCAGACAAGATTATGGAGTGGTCTTGCCTTTGTCTGGATCAGGGTTGTAGAATGGCCTTGTCTGATGTTGGTATTCTATGAAATTGTTTTTATTCTACAGAACACTGTGGTGATAGTCCAGAAGAGCTCATAGCAACACCCAGGCCAGCACCTGGATGTCAGGGCTGCTTTCTCTTCCTCAGCAACCAGTAAGTGACAGCTAAGTCTTAGATTTGAATCCTGATCACTATTTACCAGCTTGTAACTTTGAAATTGTCACTTAACACACCTCTCAGTTTCTGCAAATGAGCATTTATAAAGTACTTACTATGAGTCTGAAACCATGGAGCACGGATATTGGAAAGAAGGTATACAATTATGAACAAGGTGCAGTTTCCTACATATTCAAATTAGGATGGGACAATGAGAGCATCTCGCTCTAACCAGGAAGACTTGGTCTGGAAGGAATAGGTATAGGTCTGACTAGCCCCCAGAACACAAGGAAGAATAAATGACATAATCTATACCAAAATGTTTTTGGGAATTGTAAGACACTGTATCACTAAAATAACCTGGGTTAGTGCTAGCTGAACCCATTTTCTAAACGTTTTGCCTGGTTTAGACCCTTTTGTCAACTCTCTTCACTGTACAATGACCACTTCAGGTGCTTGACCCCTGTAAAATCAAGAAGATCGACATCATGCCCCCCAAATCTCAATACCCTAAAAAGCAAAGATTTATTTATTTCTTGAGCTACCTTTCTATCCATGGTCATGGGGGGTTTAATTGCCTATCACTTTCACTCATGAACACAGATTAATGGAGCCAACATCTGAATATTATTGCTGGGATGGGGGCAGAGAGAGGAGAATGTGGTGGATCTGACATGAGCTTCTGCTCGCATTTGATTGGCCACACAGCAAGTCACAGGACCATGTGGAGAAGCTCAGTCCTATCAGTTGCTCAGACAGAGAAGAAAATATCAGTAAATAGCTTTAATGACCTCCTTGTCCCCAGACCAGGACTTCTCATGAAAGTCCGTAGAAATAAAAGGGCTTTAGGCTTTAGAACAGCATTCTCAACCTGTAGGTCGCGACCCCTTTGGCGGTCGAACAACCCTTTCACAGGGGTCGCCTAAGACCATCCTGCATATCAGATATTTACATTACAATTCATAACAGTAGCAACATTACAGTTATGAAGTAGCAATGAAAATAATTTTATGGTTGGGGGTCACAACATGAGGAACTGTTTTAAAGGGCCAGAAGGTTGAGAACCACTGCTTTAGAAGATGTTCTTTCTTATGGGCAGTAAGAATTAGTGTCTGATATACTTTCAGGCTTTGCCGTGCCTACTCTTCCATAAGAAGAAAGCCAGGCCTCCTTAATTTATTTCGATGCATATCTCCATGGTGATAACAATTGTTATGCAAGCCTTTTTCTCCCTTCACCCCTCCTCCCCCAAATCATATTAACTGCTTGAGTATGTATTAAATAAAAGAAGACTTAACCAACTGTCAGTTGGAATCTGTCATTGTACTGGGCAATGTAGACGAAGCAAAAGTTAATACCTCCATAGTTAATTACCAAAGAAATTTCCATTTATATGGTAAGAAAAGATGGGAACATATGAAAGGAGTAAAAAGGATTCTAAAACCAGGTCTGTGGAAGTCATGACAGACCAGTAACTATCACTGACTATTGTTACTCCTTGAAGGCTAACCACTTAAGCCTTCTTCTCTCAAAGACTCTGAAATCGAAAATAAAATCTAGGCATGAAAGAAGGAGTGGCCATTCACTGGGCACAGTCTTCCTGGCAGTGTTTCTGAAACATGGGTCAACAAGGTGCAATCTCCAGGGCAAGCTCTACAGGAGGATTGTGACATTTTATGTTTTCAGTTCAATGACCTAGAAGTGTTAACATAAGCATTTTCTGAATTGTCCTTTAATCAAGTACTGACACTTGATTTCACTGTCAGTATTTGCATTTCTGCTTATGATCCCATTGCTCAAAGTGGAAATACTTTAATAATGTCAGAAAAGAGAAAAGAAGTGGACTAAATATATAAACACTATGCCCAGTTAAGTGAGACCAAACACTGTTATAACATATTGTTCAAAATAAGTTTTGCTAGTATTCCAATAAAAAGAGTGGGAGAATTGAGCCATCACCTGACACATGAATAGACATACTGAACTCAAAAGAACCCCTGTTGTACTGGGCAATGCCATAGTTAAGTGGCAAAGCCAAAAGGGAATATAGTAGCTATTCACTGACACAGACAACAGTGTGGTGATTGCAGGGGCAGGGAGTGGTGTGTGGAAGTGTAAGAGGATATAAATGGCTGTGCAAAAATTTAAGCAAAAAAAGAATATAGTTGCTACTAGATTTTGTTTGTATCAAGAAGAAAGTGACTTTTTTGGGTTCTGATAAAATCAACAAAGTAAGATGTGATGAAAAGACCTAAATTACACCAATTACTGCTTATTAGGTAATTGTCAATACTGTGTTGATAAGAGTGTAATGATACAACTCCAAGTACAAATTGTTGAAAGGAAATGTAATCTGCTCACATGACCTTGGTCAATAATATGCCAAACAGACCTGAATAGGTTCTATCTAGTTGAGAAATTCATAACCTGACTTCAACCCTTGTGTTTCTTGATCTCTGTTGCCTTGAACCTTGTTGAACAAATTCCTCCTTCTTGAATGTTCTCTCCCTTTGGGTTGTAATATAATTCTTCCTATTACTCCGAGAGCTCCTACTTAGTTTCCTTGGAAGGCTTGATTCCCAAATGGTCCTGCTCCCCAAGTTCCGTCTCAGTCCCTTCTTCTTCCCAATCACATCGCACTTGTGACTCAACTGCCACAGAGTCCAAGCATTTCCAAATCTCAACCTCAACTCTTTTCTGAACTTGACATTCAGAGCTTCCACCTGACTATTTTTAAAAACCACTGCATACTTTTAAATATCCAAAATAGATATCTTTCTTGTAAATCTGATTCTTTCCAGAAATCCCTATTATAGTCAATGTTATCATCCTTCAGTCAGCAAAGCCAGAGATCTGGAAATCCTACCTGGCTTTTTGGTCACCACGCTGTAACTTTTATAAATATAAACATTTTCATAAATATAACTGATATTACTTATACCCCTTTTAGATGTGTGGCTGTAAGGCAGGTAGGCCCCCGAATCTGGAGCAGTTGGGCTGAACAGCCCTTTTTCCTTTGGCTAAGGCAGGGGGCTGTGTCTCGCCATCAGCAAACTGGGGATGGAATGTGAAGGCTGCTGGAGAGGAGGTGGGCAAGTATGCAAAGGCACCAAGGATTTCCCTGGTAAATCAGAAATCCGGACTCCTTCCCTTTGGGCTTTCAAGTTATTATAACTCTTCTGATGTGCTGGGATGGTCCTAGCTAAGCCGAGTGGTCAGAAATGGGCAATGAATGAGGGCCCTCAAGAAGGAATTCACCAGGATGGTGGTGATGGTGATGGAGTGAAATGCTGGGCCAGTAAGCCAGGCCCAAGACCAGGGCTGATCTTGTCTTAGGGGAAGGCCAGTTGGGAACAGAGCCATGATGTTGCACTCTGACCTGACCCACCACCTTTGAGGTTTCATAAGATGAA